CCCCAACCCCCCACCCCGCCAGTTGGGACAAGGCGGCGCCGCAGCCGGTCCACAACCCGCTGTCGCTCCTCATGCTGAGGCGCGCCCTGTCAGACGCTGACATCACCGGCCTCGTCAGCAAGGCGCCCGGCGGCCTGGGGCTGACGCTCATCCTGGTGGCAAGGCAGGAGCCCTTCCGCCAGTGGGCGGCGCACATGGCCGGGTTTGGGGCGCAGGTGCGCGCGCCAGCGGCGCCCCGCGCTGCGTGCAGGGAAGCCACATTTCGCGCCCAACCGCCTGAAACCTCTGTCCTGCACTGCACAGAATCTGCCCGCAATCAATCTGTGCGGCCATCGCCCGCTCCGGGCCGCCGCTGCCAGCTGCGCGGGCGCCACCTTCCCACGCACCCCAATGCACGTGCGCGCGTGGCTGGTGCAGGCGGGTGTTGTTGCTGAGTCGCCGTACTACAAGATGCTCATAGGCCGGGCCCTGGGCTACTCGGAGGCCAACATATTATACCACATTAAGGCAAGAAGCGACGGCTGCGTGTTGGGTAGCTGGATAAATGCACATGCACTGCAGGTTTAGCTTTCTTGGCCCCCTCGCACGTCCCCATCTGCTATCAGTGCTGTTGCGATGTGTAACAGACATGTGCACTTTCAACTGTATATCCTGCTTTGTGGGCGAATTTTGGATTTGGCTGCTCCTTATGAGTGGTGCCCGCCACCCTGCATCGTCCCTGCCCCGAGAAAGCAGCACGTTGCGCCCTGGAATGCACACGACCATATCTGTCCACCTTCTGGGCGGGTCCTCTTGGCCCCTTGAAACTTCACCCACACACGCCGCAACCCCAATCAACAGGCGACCAACGGGCGGGCGCACCCGACGCCAGAGGTGGTGGCGGCTGTCGAGTCGCAGCTGCGGGAGCTGAGCGCAAAGCCGCCCCGTCTGCCGTGGCGCAGGGCCGGCGGTGGCGCGGGCGCGGCCCAGCAGCGGCGGCGCCGGTGACGCGGCGTGCCGTGAGGAGTAGGTTACGTGTAATGAACAGCAGCTGGCCCCTTGAACGGTTACTGCCCAAACCCCACAGCGACACGGGCCTCTGCCTGCAGAACGGGCAGAGTGCCCATGCAAAAGTTTGCCATGCTTAGTCCGGTCGGGGCACGTCAGCAGCTCGCGAGGTGATTAATTTGTGCGCACTTTTCGCGCGGCGGATTTCTGCAAGGGGGTTACTCTAGGGGGCCATTAGGCTGAGCACGAAACTTCACCAAAGTGGTCCCCCACAGCGTGGGAGGGCGCCTCATGAGGTCAGCGAGCCGCCCCGTTGACCCGCCAGAGGAGGGCAACCCGTGTTTGAAGGCACACGGGCAAGGCCTGCATCGTCTTGCCGAACACTTGCTTGACTTGAACCTGCGATAGTACTCAGCAGTGCCCAACAGCACCATGATAGCACCTGTTTGGCATGCGCCAATCGCGAGGGTGCAGAGCTGCCATGTCATCTTGCGGCACAGCGTGCTACGTCTGCAGCCTGCAGCCTAACAGTACCAGGACATCACCTTGTAAGCAGCCTCTGAGAGGCTGCCAGTCAAAACACTTAAACTGGCAGGCAGCACCTGACACTTGGCAACTAACCCTCCGTGCAAAGACGCCGGGTATAGCAGCAACAGCTTGTCAAAGAGATACATGACATTCAACGCATGTTCGAAATATTTTAAGATATCCGACAGCACGGACGTGATCTTGAACTTAGTCGTGATTTGACCAGGTTCGTCCTCGTGACTCTGTTTGATAGAGGGCTTCAAACTCTTGCGGATATAAACCATAGGTACGGGGTTTTGAAGGGACGCCTGCCTGCTCAGGGTCGTCTAGGTAGCCGCGTTGTGGAGGAGTCAGCTCATGGGGGGGGGGGCGCTGCAGCGCCCGCATCAGATGCAAGGGCCTGACACCCCAGACAACGACGCCCTGCTGCTGCTACTGCTGCTGCTGCTGCTGCTACTGCTGCTGCTGCTGCTGCTGCTGCTGCTGCTGCTGCTGCTGCTGCTGCTGCTGCTGCTGCTGCTGCTGCTGCTGCTGCTGCTGCTGGCACACTTGGTGGATCTTTATCAGCGCCCTTCCCCCAGCCAAGAGTATCCTGCCACTGCGATAGATAGATAGATAAGTTACTCATACCATAGCATCACTGCCATCGGCCTCGCGCTCATCAGAGCGGACCTCCTCATCCCTAACCTTCCAACGGATCTGCCAGCAAGCATACACATAAGGGGCAGCAATATCAGCAAGCACACTGCAATAGACCTCAGCACTGCCTTCAGCATCTGCCTGATCAGCATTTTTACGGTGTCCCCTTGACTGATGCACAACTTCAGAGCTGAGCCAGCATGCCGCCGCCGCTGCCGCTGCCACCGCCGCGGCCGCTGCCCGCCAACAGCTGCCTGCACGCCATGGCGCCCGCTGTATTCTAGACACCCAACTAATTGGGTGGTGTGAGCCTCTCGAGCACTTGCAATGCGAGATCCCCCAAGGGCCGACAGTGAGGGGTGCAAGCATGATTGGAAGGGTTTGCCTGGCTATGCGGACACCCAATGTAGCTTTTTCGCCCAGCCGGTTTGGGGTGGCCGTCTGCATCAGCGACTGAGCGTTTCATGTTCATCAATGAGAATTGACTTGGACTGTTTGCTGGCAGAGCAGAGGCGTAAGGGGGACCGTGGCTGTCCACCTGGGTGCCTGGCAAGCTGTCAGCAGCGGCGGTGTTTCAAGCGTAGCTTTACCAAAGGGTTGGAGTGGCATTCCACACAGCACACCGCGTACACCAGACAAGACGCGACGCGACCTTTTGCGACACGGGAAGTGCCGCAAAACAACATGAACACCATCCGAGCGCCCAAGCAGCGGGAACATGGCCGCCGCTGGGCCCCACCAGCAGGGGAGCGAGGAGGGCCGGCAGACGCCGCGCCCCCCAAACGTTGGTACACACAGCGCCTCTCGGCGCTCGCTGCGCGTCCCCACACATGCCCCAGTAGTGGTCGCGCGTGGCAGCGCGGCGACCAGGGCCGTTTGCGGGATGCAGCGGGTGGTGATACGAAAACTCCCTGAGCACAGGTTTGACAATCGAGAGCCCTTCAGGCCGCAAAAATGTTTCAGCGGCGCTGCTGCCAGCAGGGAGGGCGCGGCAGGAAAAAGGAGGGGATAGGGTACAGCATGCCGACGTGCATGGCACGCTTGCGGCGGTGCAAGATGCACGAGCGCAATGCAGCGCTGCGTCAGCATACGTCAGCTTGCCTGCCCCTGCTTGTTGCTTGTTTGTGTGGATTGATCATCAAAATGCGTGCTCGTCCTTTGTAGTGTCTATCATCTGAAACGGGCAGCTCTGCCGGCGGGCAGCCGGCGCTGGGACATGAGTACACACGCAGCTCGGCACGAACACATCCTGCCTCTCACGATTTCAATCACATCATATCTGGCTGTCAGCGTCGCTGTGTTGTGTTGCTCAAAAGGACCAACCGGGCCCGGAGTTGTGCCGCCGCCGTGTGGCGGCACAACTCCCGTGAGTGGCGCGGACGAGGCGGCGGCGCCGTGCCGCCCGGGGCTGCGCTGCCGTGCGGAGCGCGCGCTCTCCTGTTCTGTGGGGTGCTGCTCGCACTGCCGTCGCCTCACGGCAACGGCAGTGCGAGCCTGGCACTTGCTGAGCTGTTGAAAAACATGTGTGCTGGCGTCCAATGCAGCTGTCTGACTCGAGCGCGCCGCTGGTTCGTGTCTAATGGTCGGCGAGGTCGTCGTCGCCGGCGGTGGCCAGGCGCGTTGCGATGTGGCTGTGGACCCACGTGCTGCTGTGGCCGCCGGCGTGGCTGTCGTATCGGTACTCAACAGGGATCTCCTCGTTACTGGGGGTTCGAGGGTTTTGGAGGGGCAGGCGTGTTGAGGTGCGGCATGGGGTGGGGCCGGGGGCGAGGCCGGCAGGGGGATGGCGAGGGGCGGGGCACAGGGCGTGCAGGCGGCGTGTGGGGTGTGCACGTCCGCAGAGGGTCAGGGGCAGCTGCCCTGAAGCTGCACCCTGCAGGCAGCCGAGTGCAGCACCCCCCCCGTGCGCACATTTCGGAGGCCTTCTTTGGAGGGAGCACCGCGGCCAGCAACTGTTGAAGCAAAGTTTTGGTCTCAGCAGCCCAGTCGAAGTCCACGGACGGCAACGCCAGCGCGTTGCGCGGCGGCGCCAGGCAGCGGCGCCGCGCTGGCGTGGGCAGCTGCGGTTGCCGCAGCCCCAGGGCGGGGCGCGCGGGGAGCTGGCACGCGGTGGGGCGTGAGGCGCCAGCAGACACGAACGTGTTGAGGGGCATGGCTACCGCTGTTTGGGCTCCGAGGTCGTCGGATGGGCAGTCGGACTGGGGGATGGTGACTTTGAAACCTCTTGTAGGGAATGTGAAAGATACTATCTGAGAAAAAGAAGCAAGATTCGAACTAAAGTCGAACGTACCGTAATGAAATCGACAGCCGTATGGTAAAGTTGCCGAGTTCAAGGTGCTTTCAGCATCTGCCCCGGGGCTCAGCGCAACATGAAGGTGGCTCGGACAGGCCGGCAAGTGACATTTCAGTCGATTTTCTGAAATTTATGGGGGTTTGCGCGCAATCTGGCCTGCATAAGCCGGGAAGTCAGAACCTGGCTGCTCACTGCGGGGATGAGGCGAACCCCCCATGAAGGGAGGCTGTCAAGGTCACCCTTTGCGCCGCGGTGCTGACAGCTGGGCTGATGCAAGGAGCAGGAGCTGGTTGAGGTTTCACGATGTGAACAGGTGTACGTGCTATTGCTTAGGCCAGCAAGGCATCACAGGGCGCGCAGCACCTCCAGGGCTCCTCGCAACCGCTTCGCCTTGCGCTCCCCCAGCCGCCCCCCCCAAAGCGCCCCCTCCGCCGCCCCCGCGGCGGTGCTTGCCCAGCCGGCCGGCAGCCCCGAGGCGCCGGCGCCGCCAGAGGCCGCGAGGTCTGTCACAGATATCACCAGGTCTGCTAGTTCGTGA